AATCTATTATTTAGATTATATTAAGACCTTATTATTAACTTATTACACCTTATAAGATACTATTATATTAATATAACCTCTTTCCTTCCCTTAGTTTTCTTACCTATGAATCAACCCTCACGCTTTAGAACTAGCTATCCTTCTAGATTTAATAGAAAGAAGTGTTATGGGCCAGATACTCAAGGAGCCAAGATAGCCAGAATGAATATTTATGAATTTATAAAGACTCGAAGTTAAGCTTCTATTACTAAAGTTATATATCTGCCCCCCGAAGCTAACATCGGGTCCGAGGTCCCAGCCGGTCCTGGGCCAAGACAAGACCTCTAGGGTATAGCCCATTACATACCCCCCTACTCTGCCCTCCTAAGGGTTATTCTGCGGTGGGAGGTAGTCCCTTTATATTATAGGCTCACGTAGGCCTATCCATTTAGGCCTCTAGATTCACTTCCTTACTCTAGAGTCGTAGTTTATTATAGGGAGAGACCCGCTCCTACGCTTTAGGCGTAGGAAGTAGTCTTCTTAAGGTTATAGGGTCTAGTTCTCCCTAGGACATCTCATATAGTGTAGATCTATGGGGTAGAGAGTAGGGAGTTCTTAATCTAGGCTAGGCATCTTTATTAGACGCGTCCTAAAGGCTCTAAAAGTACCTTATTATAGTTCCTAAAGTAAATTTCTATCATTCCCCTGCTCTAGTGGTCTATTAATATGGTGCCTTCCTAGTCTAGGTGCCGCGTTAGTAGGGTAAGAGAGAGTAGGGTAAGGTCTATTTATTATTTTATAGCCTCTAAAAGCGCATCTCTTACTCTCTCACTCTATTACTATAACACTATCTTCTACCTTATAGAACTTACCTTTATATCCTCTTAGTCTATTAATTTTCTACTTCTACCTACTCTAAACTCTACGCCATTAATATAGGAGGCCTATCTTCTTACTAGACCCCCCGTAAGAGCAAGCGTACTTATAAAGAGTCACTAACTAAGTCTAAGGCTAATATAGCGTCTCCCTCTATAACCCCTAGTTATAGCAAGAGCGGCGACTCTAAGAAGAATAAGATTATAGATTAGGGTACTAGTATACTAATAGAGCTGGCTAAGGAGGTCACTATAGAGGACGCCTAGAAGGTAAGTTTACTACCCTTCCTAGGTAGTTCTACT